ACCCAATAATACATTTAAAGTGTTAATTAATCTATCGTAATTTGATATGACTTTATAATATTAATTATGTTATTATATTAATAAACTAAGAAAATAAAATAAAATATTGTCTTTCATTAAGAACGAATAGAGAAACAAATATGATCGACATATCAAATACCTTTTATAAACTACTTTTATCAACACCTGCCTATTTTGTGTTTTATTATCTATTGTGCTAACCGAATGTATCTGCAATCTTGCTGTTTCAAATAAGAGGTTTTTAAACCGAGAAAAAAATCTGGAAACGTGTACCTGTGTATAATACGACCCCATTTAGTTTCCATTCAAAATTTTCTAATAGCTAGGCCGCAAATTTACTGTGGATGACCTTGCGACCAAGGAACTCCCTTTACATTTTCGTCGTAGTGCATTGTATTCTCCTTTAATCAGAGTAGCATTTTTTATCTCAGAATTGTGGTCAGTATCGTGAGATCCCCATGTAAAATCATATTTTTTAAATGTGGTATCATAATATTCATTAAAATCTCAATGTTGAACATCTATTTTACTAAAATATTTAATTTTTCACGATATTAAAGAATAGAAATGAACCAGAAGTGTAACCAAAACGTATTTTATTTTTTTACTTTCCGTTTCAAAACTTATTTTCGAATTTTCGGAGAAAGGTGCTAACTGAACTTAACCAATAATACATTTTAAGGTGTTAATTAATCTATTATATTTTTCTGTTTGATATAACTTTATAATATTTATTATATTAATTATATTATTATATTAATAAACTAAGAAAATAAAAAAAAATATTGTCGTTCATTAAGAACGAAAAGAGGACCAAATATGGCCGACATACCAAATACATTTTGTAAGTCATTGTTATCAACACCTGTCTACTTTTTGTTTTATTATATTGTGTACTAATTGAGCGTATTTGTAATCTCGCTGTTTCAAATTGGAGGTTTTTAAGTTGATTAAATATTTCTGAAAACGTGTACCTGTGTATAATACGACCCCATTCAGTTTCCATTCCAAATTTATCGTATTATATATAAGAAAATATGGTAACCTACTTGAAAAGTAAGATGAAGTCAAGAATGTTCGCAAATGAGTAAGAATTCTCTATATGAACAAAAGATAGGAAGTTGTGGAGAATCATGACCGCTCAAACTTGAAAGGAGGTGACGCACAGTTGTACCATATTATCCATTAAAATCTCAATGTCGAACATCTATTTTACTAAAATATTTAATTTTTCGCAACATTAAAGAATAGAAATGAACTGGAAGTGTAGACATCGCGTGTTTTATTTTCTTAATTTCCGTTTCAAAACTTATTTTCGAATATTTTAGTGTTGAGTGGATTTGCAATCTTACTGTTTAAAATAAGAGTTTTTCTTTCAACATGTGTATACTTGTGTATAAGACGACCCCACATTTTTTTGTCTTTTAAGTTTCGTTCAAAATTTATCGTATTATACATAAGAAAATATGGTAACCTACTTGAAAAGTAAGATGAAGTCAAGAATGTTCGTAAATGAGTAAGAATTCTCTATAGGAACAAAAGATAGGAAGTTGTGGAGAGTCATGATCGCTCATATTTGAAAGGACGTGACGCACAGAAACTGATAGACAGATAAATAGAAAATTAGTTATTTTTGGTATGAGAACAAGCTTAAAAAACGAAAAGAAAATGAAAAAAAATTAATCGATTTTTGGTCAAGCATGGCTATTATTTCGATTTGAACGCTGATCGAAAGTGTCGTTGATGGACTTGCAATAAACGCGCCTTCCGAAGCGCACCAGACAATTTTAAGTGTTTAGAGTGTGGGGGGAAAGGCTGACCGCCGATTTGAAAGAGGCAAGTCGAAGTGATTTTAAAAACCAATGAATTCCGACGGGTTGCGCGTTTAAACTTATGGACAGGCTATTTTAATGCATCAATATTGCAGTCCATATAAGACTTGAACCGACATGTCCGGTGCGTGAAGGGGCAGAGAGTTTGATGTGGGGTAGAATGGGAGGAGGTAGGAAAGAGTGATTGTTGGAGGGTGGCCAGTGTGTGCGTGCATAGCAATAGATGGGTGACTGGGTATTTTGGGAGATTTCTTCGGAATAAATATTAGAACCGAATATTTGGATAGGAGCGAATCGAATTGGTTGAGTAGAAAAAAGAAAGAAGGAATTAAGAAAAGAAAGGAACGAAGGGGAAAGAAAGAATTTCGCCAATTTTCAAAAGACGTGAAATGAAATGAAAAGATAGTTTTAAATGAAAGAAAGAAAGAAGGAAAGAAAGAATTAAGAAAAGAAAGGGACGGAGGGGAAAGAAAGAGTTCCATAAAAGTAAAAGAAAAAAAAAAGACGTGAAATGAAAGAAAATGAAAGAAAGAGTTAATAAACTGAAAAGGAAATAAAACGGGAAAAAAAAATAAATAAAAAAATATAAAATCAAGAATTATATATGGGAGAAATAATAAATGAAATTGAAGGAGATGAATGAAGGAAGAAAAAAATGAAAAAAAATAAAGAACGATAGAAAGAAATAATTAAAAGGAAACAATCCTGAAGGAAAAAAAAGAAGAAGAAAAAGAACGAGAGAAAAAAGATGATAAAAATAACGTAAAGAGGAAAGAAAATGAAAAATGAAGTCAAAATGAATGGATAAAGAAAAGAAAAAAAGACGAATGAAATAAATAAATAAATAACAAAAGTGAAAAAGAAGAAGTATGAAATTAATAAAAGAACGAAGGAAAGAATGAAATAATTAAAAAAGAAAAGGTAATGGAAGAAAAATTATGAAAATGCAACCATAAAGAAAGAAAGAATGAAAGATAGAAAGAAAGAAAGAAAAAGAAAGAAAGAAAAAGAAAGAAAGAAAAAGAAAGAAAAAAGAAAAAGAAAGAAAGAAAGAAAAAGAAAGAAAGAAAGTAAGAAAAAAAGAAAAAGAAAGAAAGAAAGAAAAAGAAAGAAAGAAAAAAAGAAAAAGAAAGAAAGAAAAAGAAAGAAAGAAAGTAAGAAAAAAGAAAAAGAAAGAAAGAAAGAAAAAGAAAGAAAAAAAGAAAAAGAAAGAAAGAAAGAAAAAGAAAGAAAGAAGGAAAAAGAAAAAAGAAAGAAAGAAAGAAAAGAAAAGAAAAAAGAAAAAGAAAAGAAAGAAAGAAAAAGAAAGAAAAAATAAGAAAAAAGAAAAAGAAAGAAAGAAAGAAAAAGAAAGAAAGAAAAAAAGAAAAAGAAAGAAAGAAAGAAAAAGAAAGAAAGAAAGTAAGAAAAAAGAAAGGAAGAAAAAACAAAGAAAAAACGATGGACGAATAAGAACAGAAAAAGGACAAAAATGAGCGAATTAAAGTAAGAAATAATTAGGAAAATAAATAATGAAAAAATGAAAAACAATTAATAAGAGAAAAAAAAGAAAGAAAGAAAGAAGAAAGGGAAGAAGAAAGGGAAGGAAGAAGAAAGGGCAAAAGAAGAAAGGGAGAAAGAAGAAAAGTAAGAAGAAAAAGGGATGAAAGAAGAAAGGGGAAAATAATTAAGGAAAGAGGAAAGGGAGGAAAGAAGAAAAGGAAGAAAGGAGAAAAGAAGAAAGGAAAGAAAGAAGAAAAATAAGGAAAGAAAGGACAAAAGGAGGAAGAAATAGAGGAAAAAAAAGACTCAATGAAAGAAAAAGAGTAAAATGGAAAATTAATGAAGTAAAAAAGGTCGAAAGAAAAGGCGGGAGAATGAAAGAGGAAAAAAATTAATGAGAGAAAAAGAGGAAAAGGGAAGATAAAGGAAGAAAGAAGAAAGGGAAGAAAAACGAAAAGAAAGAAAGAAGAAAGGGGGGAAAGAAGAAAAGGAGGAAAGGAAAAAGGGAAGAAAGAAGTAAAGGAAGAAAGAAGAAAGGGAGGAAAGAAGAAAGGAAAGAAAGAAGAAAGGGAAGGAAGAAGAAAGGGCAAAAGAAGAAAGGGAGAAAGAAGAAAAGGAAGAAGAAAAAGGGATGAAAGAAGAAAGGGGAAAATAATTAAGGAAAGAGGAAAGGGAGGAAAGAAGAAAAGGAAGAAAGGAGAAAAGAATAAAGGAAAGAAAGAAGAAAGGGAAGGAAGAAGAAAGGGCGAAAGAAGAAAAAGAGAAAGAAGAAAAGGAAGAAGAAAAAGGAATGAAAGAAGAAAGGGGAAAAGAATTAAGAGAAGTGGAAAGGGCGGAAAGAAGTAAAGGAAGAAAGAAAAAATGGAGAAAAGAAGAAAGGAAAGAAAGAAGAAAGGGAAAGAAGGGCGAAAGAAGAAAAGGAAGAAGAAAAAATGATGAAAGAAGAAAGGGGAAAAGAATTAAGGGAAGAGGAAAGGGAAGAAAGAAGAAAAGGAAGGAAGAAGAAAGGGCGAAAAGAAGAAAGGAAAGAAAGAAGAAAGGGAAGGAAGAAGAAAGGGCGAAAGAAGAAAGGGGAAAAGAATTAAGGGAAGTGGAAAGGGAGGATAGAAGAAAGAAAAAGGGAAGAAAGAAGGAACGAATAAGTAAGGAATAAAAAAAAACAGTTGATGGATAAAAAAGAGAAATATAATAAAATGAATGAAGAAAAAATTATGGGAAAAAGTCGAATTATGAAGGAATTTAAAAAGATAGTTAATGAAAAATAAAGAATAAAAAGAAAATGTAAAAGAAGAAAAAGGCATTAAATGCTTTCGTTTCAACAAAATATTTAATGAAAGAAAAAGCGGAAAACGGAAAATAAAGAAAGAAGAAAAAGAAGGAAAGGATGAAAAATATTAAAATCAAGGAGTTAATGTGTTCAAAAAGAGGAAAACCTTAAAATAAAGAAAGAAGGAAAGGACGAAAGAATGAAAGAAGAAAAGTGCTCTCATCTAGAATTGAAACTCTGTGTCATGCTCCTAGTGACATTGAATAAAATAAGGTTTAGATTAAAGAAAAGGAATAAAAAGGAAAGAGAAAGCAAAAATAAATTAAGAGTAAAAAAAAAGGAAAGAAAGAAAGTAACCTTAATGTAAGGTGGATTTTCAAGAAGTTGGCTTAGAAGAA